CCCTCCCTTATTTATACTAAAATAGGGCACAAAAGGATTAGCTTATGGACAAAGCCATCAAAAGCTAACCTAAAGTACAATTAGATAAACTAGATGGTGACAAGTTCCTAACAAAATTCTAACAATTTTTAGTCACAAAAATTCTTCAGCTTCAATGCTTCTAGAAGCAGAACGATCCAGCAACTTATCCCATTAAGTCCTTCACAAAGCCAAAAAGCATCAAATCCCCACTACATGAATGTTGTAGCGCCAAACAGCCAACGTTTTTTTATATTAGACTATAAATGGTATAGACAAAGTAAATCACATATTTAGCTCCATAACTAATAAAGGAAAAGATGAAGTAATAAAATGACCCAAGATAGGGTCCATAGGGATAAAACGAAAATAAACTCTAACTACAAACTTATAAAATGAGTGGTTTATACATTGAATTCTCAATGTATATCAATCATGGCTTAAAAAGCTCACCCTGAAAAGCATTGTCTTGCATTTGATGATCCATGCCAAGCTGTAGACAAGAATGATGAATAAATAAGGGTGTGGCAGTATGTACCTCAAAGGAAGGTTCTTTAGTGACAACAGTAAAATGTTGTGCATCATAAATGATCTAGGATACCCATCACTGTATCATGATCAAGTGGAAGTATAGAATAAGCCATCATCTATCTACATATATGTATATCCGTAGTTATTTTAAAAACCTATACTATTAGAAACTTGGGTCTCTTAACACATTCCTCTAGCAAGGATAGAAGGACACATTGTCCTTGAGTGTTGGGAGGGGGCTAGCTAGAAAAGTGAGAGGGTAAGACGAGTACAAGTTGTTCTATAGTGTCAAGTCCCTAGAGTGGTAAAGTTTGCTCTGATACAATTTCATAATACGTAGAATCCCAACTTTATTCTCCAAATTTCGTGAGGAAAGAATGAAGGGTCAAGCATATATTCTAGAGAAATAGTCCAAATGTAACCGGTATATGACTAACAAAAACCTTGAATCGCTTCCTATCACTCGTATGGGAAGGTGAGTATCTAACATTAACCACTTAATAATCGTGTGAAACAATAGTTGTGTTGGAAAATGCAACAAAACAAGGAAAGGAAGTGAAACACGAACAAAGGGACGAACAAATCAATTGTTGATTATTAGACCAAAAAATGTAGGACATTATACTTTTCTCTAAAACTTTAATGTTAAATAATGTGATTGACGATTAATTTTCCAATGTATGACAAATTTTCTTTTTAAGGATAATTGAATTTTAACAACAGATTTTATGAGTCTAATTTAAGTAATTCTTTTTGCTTACATAATTTTTTTTATAGTTCGAGTATTTTATATGATGATATGATAAACTTCAGAGCATTTGTTATACAGTTACATATATAATCACCATAAACAATCAATCTAATTACAACAAACATCCCGGTACAAAATTTATTAAAAAATGGTTCCCAATTCCAAGAAGCAATACTTAAAATCATCATCTCTCATATAGGTCTATGAGAAAACCACCTCTTAACCATCTCAAAACATTCTTCAGGCATGAACTCTTGAGCTGTGTGCCCTGCTCCCTGTTATCAAAAGAAGAATTTTTACCAGCTTTATATGTTAATGATCAATCTTCACCATGTATATGTGTGTGTGTATGTATATAATAATATATTGTACCTTAAGAGTGACAAATGCTAAAGAATAGTTATCACGTTCATAGATGGTTTTGTATCCTGCATCTTGACCATTAACATACCATGCATCCCAATTACTATCTGCGATTGTCAAATTAAGAGAACTTATCCAATTACGTGTACCGACATGTGGAACCATCATGTCGTGATCCCCACTGTTTCATAAGAAAATAAGTTATAAGTTGACTTAAACAAGCATGCATACCGGAGATACCATAAAAGAGTAAAGACGTCCAATATATACCTAAAAATCAAAGCTCGACAATTTCTCTTACTTAGCTTTTGGTGGAAGACGACACTACTTTGGACATTGAACTCATATGATGATGTCGAACGTACACCATAATTGTACTCCATATCCAAATTACAAAGCGACCACTTCTCCACTGTTCCCTATTTTGTGCCATCATATAAACTAAATCACAAGGAACTTTTTATCGAATATACTAAAATGAATGTAGCATCACTTTTTTCTTTATTTTTGTTATTGGATACATACCTCGCGGACATTAAGTGCCTTCATAACGTTTTTATCATTAGCCCAACGGGTTGCATATTCATAATATTCGCCCTGTGGAGAAAGACGATTTCATATAAATATATAGAGGCTCATTTTTTTTTTGGCGGGGGGGGGG